TTTTTTTGTTTTGATAAGTTGCATAAATAAGTGCTTTGATGATTAATAAATGATCAAGCTCCAGAAGTCTTAAAATTTAGTTTGTTCTTGCCAGCTTCTGCACTTTGTTTCTGTCAAAAAACCTACAAAATGGTATCAGAGCCATAAGTTCTTGAGAGACTTGTGAGGTTGAGTGAGCCTAACCACTTACCTTAAACATTTACCTTAAACACTCACCATCTCCCATATTTAAAACAAAAAAGCCTACTCTTCATCAAATGCAATAACACCTCCAGTGTTTGATGAAACAAATTATCAAGTGTGAGCTATCCGAATGGAAGCCTACCTTGATGCTAATGATCAGTGGGAAGCCATTGAAAATGCGCACAAACTTCCTCCATTGCCCGACAATCCAACTATGGCTCAAATAAAAAAATCACAAGGAAATGAGGCAAAGGAAATCAAAGGCAAAAGCTAGCTTATTTGCAGCTGTTTCATCTTCAATTTTCACCAAAATCATGACACTGAAGACAACAAATGAAATTTGGGACTTCCTGAAGTAGGAGTATGAAGGAAATGAACAAGTCAAAGGCATGCAAGTTCTGAATCTGATTAGAGAATTTGAGATGCAAAGAATGAAGGAATTAGAAACAATCAAGGATTACTCTAATAGACTCCTTGACATTGTTAACAAAGTAAGCCTTCTTGGTACTGATTTTTTTGATTCTAGAATAGTTCAAAAAATCCTTGTAACAGTTCCTGAAAAGTTTGAGGCTACAATATCGTCAATAGAAAACTCAAAAGATGTGTCAAGTATTACCTTGGCAGAACTGTTGAATGCACTATAGGCTCAGGAACAAAGGAGACTTATGAGGCAAAAAGGATCTGTAGAGGGTGCATTTCAAGCTATATCACAGAACAATATGTACAAGAAAGAGAAGCAAAGCAACAGCAATAACAGTAGCAACAACCTTACATTTCCACCATGTCCTTACTGCAAAAAATCCAGTCATCCACAGAAAAGATGTTGGTGGAGGCCGGATATAAAATGTCACTAGTGTGGTCAATTAGGGCACGTGGAAAGGATATGCAAATCTCAACAGCAGCAAGGGGAAGTCAAAACTGTTGGTGAACAACCTCAAGAGAAGCAACTATTTGTGGCATCATGCTTTGCTACCAGTAGCTCCACAAAAAACTGGCTTATAGGCAGTGGTTGTAAAAGCCACATGACTTATGATCAAGAGCTTTTTAAAGAGCTTGACAAAACTACTATTTTTGAAGTTAGAATTGGAAATGGAGCATATCTTGCAATAAAAGGCAAAGGAACAGTGGCAATCAAAGGCCAGGTTTGAAATTAATTTCTAATGTCTTATATGTTCTTGAAATTAATCAAAACATTTTGAGTGTTGGTCAGCTGCTTGAAAAAGGATATAAGGTGCTATTTGAGGACAATTATTGCTTGATTACTGATACACAAGGCAGAGAGGTGTTTAAAGTCCAAATGAAAGGTAAAAGTTTTGCCTTGAATTTGATGGAAGAGGAACAGGCTGCAGTACACAAAGAAGATAGCAATACAATACTTTGGCATAGGAGATTGGGGCATTTTCATCATACAACGCTACTTTTTATGAAGAAGAACAATCTTGGGCAAGGCTTGCCTGAATTAGAAGAGGAGCTTTCTACTTGTACAGCCTGTCAGTATGGGAAGCAGACAAGGCTTCCATTTTCACAAAACAAGGCCCGGAGAGCTACAAAGAAACTACAGTTAGTACACACAGATGTGGGAGGACCTCAGAAACACCATCATTGAATGGCAATAAATTTTACATTGCTTTCATTGATGATCACACAATAATGTGCTGGATTTATTTTATGAAATTTAAATCTGAGGTTGCTGACATTTTCTGGAAGTTTAAGGCTTGGGTGGAAAATCAAAGTAGATGTAAAATGCAGGTGATCAGGTCTGATAATGGAACTGAATACACCTCAAAAAAATTTACTAAGTTCTATGAGAATGACGGTGTTGAGCACCAGCTGACAGCACCTTATACCCCTCAACAAAATGGGGTGGTTGAGAGGAAAAACATAACACTTATGGAGATGAAAAGGTGTTTATTGCATGACAAAGGGCTGTCAAAGAAATTCTGGGGCTGAGGCTGCAAACACAACAATTTTTCTGCTGAACAGATTGCCAACAAAAACTTTATAACAAAGGACTCCATTTGAAGCATGGTATGGTTATAAACCAAGACTGCAAAATTTAAAAACATTTGGTTGCCTTTGTTTCTCTTATACTCCTCAGGTTAGGAGAGAAATTGGATAAGAAGGCAGAACTGGGATCTTTGTAGGCTACAGTTCAGTTTCAAAAGCCTATAGGATTTATCTTCCACAAAACAACAAAGTAATTGTTAGCAAGGATGTCCAATTCTTTAAGTCAGATAGCTGAAGCTAGGAGAATGATAAGAAGCTTGAATTCCGGGAGGAGAATGATAATATTGATGACGAACCTGTCAGGGGAACCAATTCACTCTCTGACATCTATCAGAGGCGCAATGTTGCTATAATAGAGCCTGTAGTATATGAAGAAGCCGCAGCAGATCAAAAATGGATGGTTGCAATGGAGGAGCTTAAGATGATTGAGAAAAACTAGACTTGGATGCTAGTGGACAGACTTGCACATAAAAAGGTCATAGGAGTCAAGTGGGTTTATAGGACCAAACTCAATCTTGATGGTTCTGTAAACAAACACAAGGCAAGGTTGGTCGTTAAAAGATATGTTCAGATGTTTGGGGTGGATTTCTCTAAGACTTTTGTCCCAGTTGCTAGATTAGATGCCATAAGAATGCTGCTGACCCTTGTTGCTCAAAAGGGTTGGAATATTCACCAAATGGATGTCAAATCTATCTTCTTAAATGGATACCCGGAGAATGAAATTTTTGTGGAGCAGCCTGCAGGTTTTGTTGTTCAAGGAAAAGAGGAGAAAGTGTATCTCTTAAAAAGGCTCTGTATGGTTTAAAGTAAGCACCAAGGGCTTGGTACAGCAAGATTGATGCACATTTGTTAGAGTTGGGCTTCACAAAAAGCCTAAGTGAATCTACTCTCTATCTCAGGAAGATTAGTGATGAAATACTTGTAGTATCCCTATATGTTGGTGATTTGCTTGTGACAGGAAGCAGTATGGAGCAGATTGACACTTTCAAAAAGGAAATGAAGAATGTTTTTGAGATGACTGATCTTGGAAAGATGACGTCTTTCCTTGGCATGGAAGTTAAACAAAAGCAGAATGAGATCTTCATATGTCAGCATTAATATGCCAAGTAGATTCTAAAAAAATTCAACATGGAGGAATGCAAGCCAACATCAACCCCAATGAATCAAAAGGAGAAGTTTTGCAAAGAAGATAGAGCTGCAAAGGTTGATGAAAGGCTTTACAGAACCTTAATAGCCTGCTTGATGTACCTGACTGCAACAAACCAGATATTATGAATGCTACAAGTCTACTCTCAAGGTACATGCATTGTGCTAGTGAAATTCATTTTCAAACAGCAAAAAGAATTATTAGATATATCAAGGGTTATTGTTTTAGCTTTGCTGCTGTGAATTAAGCTCTCTAGATTAGGAAATTGATGGCAGACTGGCAAATGGAGCAAAAGGAATGCACACAAATACTTGTAGACAACCAAGCTGCAATTTCAATTGCAAATAATCCAGTGTTCCATGGCAAAACAAAACACTTCAAGCTAAAATTCTATTTCCTAAGAGAAGTACACAGAGAAGGAGATATACAGCTGATCTACTGCAAAACAGAAAATCAAAAAGCTGACATCCTAACCAAGGCACTTCCCAAAACTAGGTATGAGTTCTTGAGGCAAAGACTTGGAGTCTGTAGCTCCAGAGCCAAGGAGGAGTGTTGAATGATGACCCAGGAGCTGCTGATTTGAAATTGTCAAAGTTTGTTAGGCTTAACCTATTCTTCTGCTATTTTTTGGTAGTTTATGTTATGCAGCAGATTTAGCTGCATACTTTATGCTTTTTCTGTTTTGATAAGTTGTATAAATAAGTGCTTTGATGATTAATAAATGATCAAGCTCTAGAAGTCCTAAAATTTAGTTTGTTCTTGCCAGCTTCTGCACTTTGTTTTTGTCAAAAAACCTACAGAGAGGTATTGGGAATGTGTTTAAATTCCATTTCCGTTTGGTTGATCAGAAGGCAAAGTGATTTCATCTCTTAAAAGAAGAGTCGGATATTAGGAAGCTGTGATGCTTTAATCAAGCTCTTTTTGGAAATGTTGTATGCCTCATAGGGTAGGGCTCCGGAGAAAATGTTAGAAAAGGATAAGATGAACTCTTAAAGTATGTTACATTTGTGGTAAGGGTAAGGCATAGGGTGAGATTCTGGTATGATCCGAGGTGTGGTAGAGAATCCGGGACATGTTTCCCAACCCATTCCCAATAGTTGTTGTCGAAAATGTTAGCATGGTGACCCAGTTGTATGGAAGCCTCCCTCCCCTCAGATTTTTTTGAGTAGTAGTTGAAGAAGTTGACATTTTAATGGATGTGTTTTATGGGGTTCAAGTTCTGCCTGGGGTGGGGGTTTCACAGAATTTAGAGCCATCTCACAAAGGCAACTTTAAGTCGTCTTACCAAGCATTGGTAGGGGCAAATTTAACTCATTTTTTCTTTGGAAGGCCTTTGCGAATGCAAATCCCTCCCAAGGTGGCTTTTTTTCATTGACAATAGGCTTGGATTATTCTTACTATTGATAACCTCAAACACCAAGGGCGAATCATTCCAAATCATTTGTACACGTGTAAAAAAGACAAGTCCATTAATCGTTTCCTTTTGCACTGTCCAATAACTAAGGAGCCATCGGTGATGATCACCCATCTTGGTTTTTTTATTAACTGCCACTAAGCAGAACAGTGCCCAAATCCCAATAAAGATGTCTATAAGGTTTGTGGAAACCAGAAGAGGACTTTATTTCGAAGTATCTGGAGACTCAAGGAGAAGGTAACTGGGCAACTATTTCTCAGAGGTCAGGCAAAGAAGTTCCATGCACCGTTGTTCTTTCAAGGTGGGGTGGTGATGCTGCCTTGCCTTTGGTTGTATATGCTGTCAGAGTGAAATCAGAGGCACTTTGTAGATGAAGAGACATTTACCATGGAATTGGATGGAAGATTTTAAGCTGATGAAATATCAGATGAACTACTTACTAGGGAAAAAAAAGAGAGAGAAAGAACTGTCAGGTGTGTGTTTTTAAGTAAATCAACAACATCAATAAACATTCTACATTGTTTCCAATTCCATTTCGATATTCTCAGAACCAATTGAGTTTAATAAGTCAGGAGGTTTTTTTTCCATTGAGGTGAGTGACTAATTTGACCAGCAAAGCAAACTAATGAAATGACTAAAACTTCAGCAATTGAAGGGATGAAGCATCCAGTAAGTAAGCTGTAAAAAAAGCACATAGAAACAATTGAACTATGAAGACGATTCCAAAGCCAACTTAACAAAGGATGCAGAGGATGAAATTTAAACAGATAAAAAATTACCCAGTGACTGACTGGATCAGGCAATAGCTCAACTTCTGCGGATGCATAATCCATTGGCGTCCAGCTTCTCTTACTAGGTGGAATAAGATTTTCATCCCACGTCACGAAGTAGCGATCACCATCAAGGTCACTTCCCGATGCTTCATTTGTATGCGGTCTATCTCCCTTTTGAGGGAAAACCAGACAATCAAAAAGATGGTCCAGCCCAGGGACATCTACTGCCTCTAGAATTCGCACATCTCCTGGGTGAAGACAGGGATTTTTTGCTATTGCCACAAAGCCCTTAATTACTTGCAATTTTTTCTTTGTCTCAGAAAACCTAGAGCCCTGCTTTGCAAAGCAATTTTCCAGTGAAGGGTTTGACACTTGAATAAAGCACTGGCCTTGTTCAAGTACCCCTAACTCATCCAAGCAGCCCATCAAGCACCTCCCTGAAGGAACAAAGATCCTAGCCTTTTCCCTGAGATCCCCAAGCTGTGCAGCTCTTATACTAGTCAACATGCCTTGTAGATGAGATTCAGTTTGAGGTTTGAAACCAGCACCCAACATTATTGCTGCTGTATTTCCTTGCTCAGCACATGAAGCGGTAAGGACATCAAAAGCAACATCCATGTCTTCAAGCATTTTGTTCAGTTTGGAAATCATGGAGTTCTGCATTCTCCAAAATATATCATCTTGAACGTTTAAAGCAGAAAGTAATGTCACTATCTGCCTGTTCAAAAATCCTGGCTGGAAATGAGTCCATGAACAAATCTCAAGGACCGTGTGATTGGATTCAAACTTAATCATTTTTGGCCTTATGGATAGCCGGAACCGACCAATTTTTTCTGGCCAACATGCAACAACACCTTTACAACCCGCATATCTGATCTGGTAAGCACAGGGTGCATTTACTTTCAACTGCAATTTCTCTGCAACTTCAGCCGCAAGATCAGCCGACATCATACCAATTCCATCGGAGAAATCATAACCATTTTTCACAATATCTGGAAGCTTCCAATAAGCCTGACTTGATGGAACTTCAACTGTGGCATAAGTAGATGAGAAGCACTGTCCCATCCTAGCAGCATACTTGGCAATGTTCCTGTCATTAAACTCCCCCATCCAACTAATTATGTCGCATACTCTAATCTTCTGGTCTTCAGCAAAAAACCAAGCAGAACAGTCCCTTAATTGATTAGCTGAGAATGCCAAAAAGAAGTATTTTCGACTGCATAATTGAAACCCTTTACTTACAATCCTCTTCACTCTTTGGAACATTTGGTTTTCTGGGAATTAAAATTTGAAGTGATGTCCCTAAGGATAGGAGCAGGATAATAGTCAATTGCATTCTTGTTAAGTGTCTGCATGCCTTCATCCATGAAGGTAACCCTTAAAAAACGATCAGCAACTTCTCTGTAATTCCTAAGAACCCTATTTGAAAGTTCAGCTTCTGGTGGAAGACAGTAGGCTTTGGTCGGGGTTATAACCAACCTCCTAACTTTGACAACATTATTCAACTCTCTAGGTCTCTCAAGAAGCTTAGGATTTTTCAGCAACCATTCCTGAACAAGTTCCAGCCTCCTACAAGCATCATTCAAAGGGCAATTATGAGAATAGATGTGCTTTAATGCAGCTACATTGACGTCGTCTCTTTGGCTTCTCAGTAAATGAAAGAAGCTGTCTGACAACTGGTGCTGGTTTATTATGCCTTTGTGCATGACTGCATTTACCAAAAACAAGATCTTAAAGGATACATCTGTCTTGTATGGAATACAAAAGAAAGGATCTGACATAGGTATCCCAAAATCAGGTTCATCCCGTATCCTAAGCTGCTGTGTAGGGCAGTAATTTGATACCTGCACCCTCTGCTCCTTAAGATAATCCATGGCCTTCTCCAGATTTGGACCATTGCGAGGTCGGATTGAAATTCGATAAGTATTACACCTACCAATGGCCCCACTAGGAGTAAAATCTGTAGTTCGGATCCATGGATCATCATCGTCCAACAAATCAAATGGAACTGATTCTTCAATATCATCATCTGCAGTTCTATAGTAAATTAAAGGAGAGGAGGCCAGCTGCAACAAAACTATTAAGGATGACATATCTGCATCTTGTTTGATCTCATCAATATCTCTGACCAAGAATTCAATCTTAAAATTGCATCTTATGACTGCCTGCATGGCTGGACTTTTGAAGGAGAAAGCAGTGTCATTTGTGAAAAGGAATTTGCATGCCCATCAAAAGGATCCACCAGAAAATCAACCACGGTAGCAGGACCTCTCCAACCAACAAAGAACTCATCTGGGCTAACTAAGATGCCAATCTCAACACGCACATCAGATATCTTGAAGGGGATTGTCGTCCTTCTCCTCTGATTCATATGATATGGAGTCTCAGGCCCCAAACTAACTTTCAGCGGTTTCTCTTCAAATATAAGCTCACCACGCCCTGCATAATCCAGAGCTAACATTGAAGAGTCTGGCATGGCAAAATGCACAAATGCGTGAGGCTCCACCTTCTTGTAATCGTTTGTTCCCAGGACATTTGTCGGGTTAATCACAAAATTTGGGTAAGAATTGGGAGGGGTTGAAGAAGTCTTCAATCTACACCTCCAAACAGCTCCAATGTTAGCTTCCAAGTAATCGCAAAGCATTTTTGCAGTTACATAGTTGTCGAAACCACCAACACTAACTTGAGTAACCACCATGTGCTTCTGACTTCCCTCTGACCCCATTCTTCTTCCCTAAATTCGAAAGTCAAATCCCAAAAATACTCTTAAATGCACTTCTTCCTCCAGTTTCCAATTTCACCTAACACAAAACCCAACATTTGTAAATGAAACGTAAATAATCCCACCCCAACCTTAAAACTTTCTTCTTCCAGTGTTACACCTGAACTTCAAGAACTAATAAAATTTTTCAACATCCATAGTTAAAAGTGTCGAAGAAAATGGTTGAATGAACAGAAACAAAGATTCTCACAGCCCAATACGGGGAAAACAGAACCTTATGCAACCATTTGGCTACTTCTACATTACTTGGGAAACCTGAAAAAACTTTGAACATGATATTCAAAAATAGGATTATATTTTTCTTTCCCTCTTGAACATTATCCCTTCAAGGTTTATAAAAAAAATACAATTCGTCCTCTAAATTCTGGAAATAGAACTCTATACCTTGGGGACTTAACATTATTATACTTTCCCCCAGCCATTGCTTGATAGTTAGTTGACATATATTCATGATAAATTTTGGATGGAAACATATTTGAGATATGAAATAAGAGAAAAACATAAGCAAACAAATTTAATACTTCGAATTATAAGGCCTACATTCACGGACACAGTGCCCATAAGGGCTTCCTCTATGTTGATACTTGAATTACATTCTTGTGTTGTGTATGTTTATATAAGGTGTAATTCATTAATATCTATATAATAAAGTAGAACAAAGTTTGAATTCAAAAAACAAAGAGAAGTTCAGATTATTTTGAAATAAAATATAAACAAATTTAACGGACAACGTAATCTCAATATAAAAAATGGTTCAGATCATCTCAAAAATTTTGATCTAACGATCTACAATGAATATTAAATTTTATTTTTCCGCTTAACAATATTTCTTTAGTTTCGTCTCTCCTCCAAAATCTCTCAATTTTTTCCAATCTCATCCAAAAATCCAAATCCCGCCTAGCTGAACACACACGGCACCCCAAGTACTCCATCCTTTGCGAAACTCCCTCTCTCTCCTCTGCGGATAAAGACCCAGACCCTTATCTCCTTCTCTCTCACTCTCTCTCACGCAACCCCCCCAGTGTATTTCTGTCTCTCTTTTCCAGAAGACCACTCTCCTACCTCTCACTCAACCCGCCGCTGTTCAACTAATGGCCGATGACAAACAGCCCAGGTACCTTTCTCTCTCTCTCTCTCTCCTGACCGTTCCTCTTCGCACTCTCTCTTTCTCCATCAAACAAATCACACACACACACTCATGCGCATAAACCCTTCCCCTACCTCTTTCCAACCGCCTGCACTCACACCTCCACACCCACCCCCACCCAAACCGTGCCCTAAAGGCACACAGCCAACCTTCTCCAAGCACCACCGAAGCCCCCACCCCCTTCCTTCCAATATAACTGAAACTCACCCCCACCCTTACTTTCCGATACACACAGAAGACAAACAAAAACCCACTAAATCTTGATCCATTGATCTAATTAAGTCCTTTGTTATTTATTGCAGGAGCAGTAAACCCATTACTGTAAGCTCATTTTGCTTTATTACCATTTTAACCATTGTTCTTTTGTTCAATCATTTTGGTGGTTCTTTATAACAATACACAACACACACGACAGCTTTGTTATTTCTACTTTTTTGGTATTGCTCGCAAGATGTTTGAAAAAATGCCCGACAGGGATTTGGTTTTTTGATTTTTGTATGGTCCCTCTCTTTGGTTTATTGGTTTTCTATGGGCAATGGGTTGAATTTATGTTTATTTTGGATGGGTTTTGTTGATTTTTGTGACTATTTATACGAAATTTGTTGGGTTTGGTGCTATAATTGTGATTTTTGTGTCATTGTTCTGGGCTTTGATGCTCGTATTATATTATTTTTTGTTGAAGATATAGCAGCAGTCTAGTTTATTAGAGCTTATTAAGTTTTTTCCTTTTACCTTTTTATCCTTATTGTAATTTTCATTAACTATATATATAGGACTCTACACTTAGTTTATATCCCTTTTCATTCACATTCATCTCAAGTTGGTATTAGAGCCACCAACTCTAACCCTAGCCTTCGCTAAACCTCCACTCCATTAAACCAGCAACTCCATTGACCAATACACAGTCAGCCTATCATCCACCGATTGTCGATTGCCTCCACTCCATTAAACCAGCAACTCTATTGACCAATACACAGTCAGCCTATCATCCACCGACTGCTGATTGCCTCCACTCCATTAAACCAGCAGCTCCACTGATAGCCACATAAACCAACTCCCATACAACCGAAAAACCCAACCGATTGAAAAAAACCCATCCAACAAACACCCAACCGATTGATTACACAGTCAGCCCATCATCCACCGACTGCATATTGCCGACTGTGTCCACTCCATTAAACTAGCAGCTCTACCAATAGCCCATAACAAACAAGCAGTCCACTGCCCAGTCCCAAGTCCTAAGTCCATAGCCCACTGCCCCACCGACAGAACCCAGCCAAAAACACCACCGACTGCCCACCTCAACCCACCGACTGCCTACCAAAACCACCAACAGCCAACAAAATCGACTGCCTCCAACCAATATACATACAACACCGACTATTCTTGGATTAATATAATTCATAACCCATAACCCAGCCCACCTCAATTCACCGACCCACTGTCCAGTCCAACCCAGACCAGCCCACTCATCAACCCGCTATCGGGTCACATTTATCTTTTTGTCATAGTGTTGCTATTTTTTCATGCCACCTTTTTTTCTAGAGTTGCAATATCTAGGCTTTTTTGAGAAGGCATCAGATCCTCTTCTCCGTTGATCTGCTTTTGATGCAGTAGATCACTTATATATTTTCTGAATTTCTGGGCACCATGACTTGATTATTTGGGAGCTTTCTGGACCTTCTTTATCTGTCGCTATTGTTCGACTTGAGGTATATTGTTCTCCCTTATTTTATTCCTCTATTTATTTTAGAGTTATTTTTTTCCTGCCACGGGTGCCCACGTATTATTATTGTCATGACTACTACTGAGGGACTAGAGACTCCTACCGTAGAGACCTCTACTGTTGAGGCTTCTATTAGTACTTCTACCGGGCATGTACTACCTACTTCTTCTTCTTTTATGTTTAACCAGTACACAGTATTTACTAGCACAGTTACTTTACCGGCAATGCCAGAAATGATCTCTCAGAAGGTTACAGCACAATTGTTGAATGGTCGTAACTTTGTTGAGTGGTCACGTTCATTCCAGCTTTTTTTGAGCCGTGTAGGGAAGCTTGGTTGGCTGACGGGATCTCACCCAAAGCCAGCTGATGTCGACCCTAGATATTCTACGTGGTTCTCTAAGAACTGCGCTATTCTTGGATTGTTATTTGGCTTGATGGAGCTATCTGTTTGCAGGGTACACCAGTTTTATAGCTCTGTTATGAAATTATGGAGCGCATTATCAGAGGTGTATTTCCAGTCAGGACAGGGAGTTCGTGTTTATGAGCTTTCTTAGGAGCTCTCATATGCTCAGTAGGGAGATATGATTATTCAGGATTATTATGGCTATTTGACCCAGCGTTGGTTTTAGTATGAGACTCTACGTCCTCTTGTTGCTATTCCGAGGATAGAGCCCGAGGGAGCAGTATTCTTGTATACTCTAGAGCAGGAGGATAGGTTTTTCAAGTTCCTTATGGGGCTTCATGATGAGTTTGAGGGACTCGTTCCCAGATTTTATCGATGTTGACGCTTCCTTCTCTTTATGAGATATATGCGATGATTGAGCAACATGAGCGTTGCGTCCGTATTGCATTACTTCCAGTTGCGACCTTGACTCCTCCAGCTGATCATATGACCCTTGCAGTAGCTGTAGGATCTCGTTCAGGATCCTCAATCAGTGGTGGGCAGTGCTCGGACCAGCGTCATCAGGGTGTCCTAGATCAGTGCAAACAGGGGGATTCTCGTTAATGTGATTATTGTGGCCGACCAGGACATCTCAGGACTGCTTGTTGGAAGTTCCATCCAGAGCTTAAGTCGCCTCCTCATCGCCGTATTGCCGCTGTTGCTGAGGTACCACTATCTACTACCGCTACTCCTGCTACTGCTCCTCCTTGGCAGAGTGATATGAATACTATCACTTCTCGATTGAATATACTTATGTCTGTTCTGACTTCTCAGAGTTCGACTACTACTGCAACCACCAATACAGGTATACCTCGTGCCTTTCATGCTTGTGTCAGTCCGTCTCCTCTTTGGATACTGGACTCGGGTGCGAATGGTCACATAACAAGTGAGATCTATCACTTCACCACTTTTGACGAGCAGTTACATACACAGGTTCAATTAACAGATGGGACATATGGCCCTATTGTTAGTAAGGGTACAGTCTGCCTTCGAGATGACTTTACATTACGTTCGGTATTTCATGCGTCAAAGTTGGTCATGAATCTATTATTTATACATCAGTTAGATAGAGATTTTCATTGTGCAGTTGTGTTCTTATCTGATTCGTGTTATTTGCAGGACCTGAGTACCATGAGGATTATTATCAGGGAACATGAGAGAGATGGACTGTATTTTTTAGGCGATTTGCCTCCAGTTTCACCAATTCTTGCACCTACATCACCTGCACCTGCTTTATCTTTATCTGTTCTTATCTTGCATGCTAGTATTTTGCCTAGTAATTGTCGTTATGATTTTTCGTCACAAATTGTTCAGTTGTGGCATGATTGTTTTGGACATACAAATTTTAAATATTTATGTATGTTGTTTCTTGCTTTGAGCAATGCTTGGGTTGGTGATAAACTTGACTGTGTTATCTTTTCCCTATCAAAACATGTTAGGGCCAGTTATATTCCTCACATGCACTAGTCACTCAAGCCATTTAACCTAATACACTCTAATATTTGGGGACGCTCCTCTGTTACTTGCTCTATCAGGTGTCCGATACTATGTGATATTTATAGATGACCATACCCGTTGTACTTGGGTCTACTTTTTGCATAGGAAGTCCGATGTACTCCCTATAATCACTCAATTTTTCCAAATGATTCAGACACAATTTGATATCATTGTTAGTGCTCTTCGTTCAAATAGTGCCAAGGAATATGTGTCTAATGCCTTAGTGTCTCACCTTTCTTCTCAAAGTATCTTTTAGCAACTCACTTGTCCATATATTCTTAAGCAAAATAGCATTACTAGAAGGAAAAATAGGAGTCTGATAGGGATGGTACGTTGCATGCTTAGAGGCGTGGGGGTGCTAAAATCTTATTGGCATTTTGCTATTTTGACTTCTACCTTTCTGTGCAATCATACGCTGAGTCGTGTTCTCTAGCATAGGGCTTCCTTACAGGTTTTATTTCCTGAGTGAACACTTTTTTCGGTCCCCCCTCGTGTTTTTGCATGCACATGTTTTGTTCAGGATCGGTCTCTTATTCGTCATAAGTTTGATGATAAAGCAATTCGTTGTGTCTTTATGGGCTATTGCAATCAATTTAAGGGGTATCGGTGTTATGATCCTGTTAGGCGTCGTATGTATTACAGTCTGGATGTTACCTTTCTTGAGCATATTTTTTATTTTTCTTCCAGTCCTATGCCTACGCCTCCAGTTAATGATACTTCCTTTGATTTTTCATTACCCCCGGAGCCAGAGCTATTGGTCACTATCACTACAGAATCATCGGTCTCTCCTCCTCCAGAGCCACTCATCCCTGGTATCGAGTCACCAGCCTCTCTTCCTTGGCAGATTTATGTTCGTCACCCTCGCTCTCATCCCCCTACTGATATCCCCTCTATCTCAGGCAATGCATGTAATATTTCTCAGTTTGTTGAGCATATTAATGCACTTATTGTTAATACTGATGAGATTGAAAGTACTGAGCCAGTTATTTTACCTGATGAGACATTGTCAGTGGAGGATGATAATTTAGAGCATCGTTATCTGTGACATGATTGTCGTCCAATTGTTCGTTATGGTTGGACTGTTAAGATTTTATACCCAATCTCTGCTTATGTTTCTTATGGTGATCTGTCTCCTATATTTCAGGCTTATAATATGACCTTATCAAATACGTCGATTCCTCGCTATGTTTCAGAGGCTATACAGGAGTCCCAGTGGGTTCTTGCCATGTAGACAAAGATGGATGCTCTTCAGCGTAATCATACGTGGAATCTTGTCTCTTTACCTTCAGGGGTGAAGCCTATTGGTTGTTGCTAGGTTTACACCCTGAAGTTTCTTGCGAATGGTACTATTAATCGTCACAAGGCTAAGCTTGTGGCGAAGGGCTTTACTCAGGTACCAGGTCGTGATTTTGGTGCTACCTTTGTCCCGTGGCAAAATTGACTATTGTTCAACTGATTATTTCTCTGGCTGCGGAGTATTTTTGGCCTTTTTATCAGTTGGATGTGAAAAATGTATTTTTTCACGGTGATCTGGACAGGATTATTTATATGGATGCACCATCGGGTTTTCGTGGTGAGGGGGAGTATGTTGAAAAGGTATGTCGATTGCGTAAGTCTCTTTATGGACTAAAACAGTCACCACAAGCCTGATTTTCTCGCTTTAGTGATGTAGTTGTACGTTTAGGGTTCACCAGATGTCATTCTGATCATACCTGCTTCATTTGACGGAATATTTCTGAACAATATGTCATCCTTTTGGTATATGTTGTGATATTATTATTACTGGAGATGATGCTTTTGGGACTGCACAGGTCTAGGTAGACCTTGGAAAGGCTTTCAATATGAAGGACCTTGAATTTTTACGATACTTTCTTGGGATTGAGGTTGCCCGTAGCAACAGAGGTATTATTCTTTCTCAGAGAAAAGATGTTTTAGATCTTCTCTCAAACACCGGGATGCTGGGATGCAAACCAGGATCATCACCTATGATTCCAAACCTGAAGCTTACTGCTGAAGGTGAGGAGTTGAGAGATCCGTCTGTTTATTAGAGGTTGGTAGGTAGACTTATCTACCTAGTCAACACTAGGCCAGACATTTCATTCGCTGTCAGCCGAGTTAGTCAGTTCATACACAGACTATGTCAGCCTCATCTTGATGCAGTTTATCATATTCTTCAGTACCTCAAATCTTGTCCTGGACTTGGGTTGTTCTATGCATCAGGATCTCAGACTGGTTCTCTTGCCTTTTATTCAGATTTAGATTATGAGGGAGCATGTGACAGTCAATCTACTACAGGCTTCTGTACTTTTCGAGGGACTCATCTTATCTCTTGGAAGAGCAAAAAGCAATTAGTTGTCTCTCGCTTGTCAGCAGAGGCAAAGTATCAGGCACCGACACTTAACACTTGGCACATGTGAGATTATCTGGCTACGACCGATTCTTGGCGAGTTGGGATTTTTAGTGATTTCTTCATCTATATTTTATTGTGATAATCGATCTACTATTCAGCTTGCTTCTGACTCTGTATTACACGAGAGGACGAAGCATATAGAGATCGATGTTCACTTTCTTCGGGAAAATGTTAGTAGTGGTATTTTGTCACTCCATCGTTTGTGAGGACCAGTGTTCAGGTTGCAGATGTTTTTATCAAACCTGTCATTCTATCCATTCTTCGGGACTCTGTTGTCAAACTTGACTTAGTTGACATTTTTGCGCCTAGTTTGAGGGGGAGTGTTGGAGATATAGCAGCAGCCTAGTTTATTAAGGCTTATTAAGTTTTCTTTTTTTGCCTTTTTATCCTTATTGTAACTTTCATTGGCTATATATACAGGGCTCTACACTTAGTTTGTATCCCTTTTCACTCACATTCATCTCAAGTTTTTCTATTATTACTTTACAAGGGTTGTGGCAAACACTTCGTTATACTAAGTAGTGGTATGGTTTGCTTTCAGCCTATTGACACCTTTGAAGAAGGTAAGAGCTTTGGTCAACCTCCACCTTTTTCAAATGTGTCCTTTATTTTACGTTCTTGATTGTGGTTTTACATAATAACTTGAGTTTGATTAATTTGAGCTTCATGGTGTTGATCTATAATTTCACTTCTTTTAGGGAACACTTAGTCAACGACAAACTATGGTAGTTTATGCAGTTACTAAAGGTTATAACAGTGATCACCAAAGGCTATAACAATGAAAGCTCAAGAGAAAAAGTGCAAGGTAGCACTAATCTACTATTTATAATAACAAGTTGACACATGACTACACTGGATAACTACTAATATTGTAGCATATGTTGTGGGTGTTGGATTAAGCGTTGTTAAATTACATATATTAGAGTATAGTTTGATGCTTGAGATTAAATGTGTTGTTTTATTGGTTTGATTACTACTTTAGGAAACTTTTGCATGTTTTCACTTCTCATAGATGCAAATCTTGCAATGAAAAGTGAGGTTGATCATTAAATATGGAACTAGAGAGGGATCAAGAATGTTCATTGCAGTCCCTAAGGTGAGTTCATTGGTTTAATCTACGTTATTTTATTTGACAGTCTGTTTTAGGTAGAGAAAAAAAAAGTCATCTTTTACTAGATATAGACGAAGAGGAGTTTTGTTTCACAAAGGAAAAAGCTCACCAGAGAGTATTTAAAAGATTCATACTATTGTTCATCTTTACGAGATACATATCTACCATTGTTGATTGATTAGTCATATATTCATATCTCCACCTTTGTAAAATGTATCAATGAAACAGTTTTATACTACTTTTTAGTTTGTTGGTTCGAATCCATTAGTTTAAATTGGTTGTGATTGTTCTATTTTTAATAGTCGAAAAGTCCTTATTTGTGCATTCTAGCAATGTTGTAATTATAGTATTGGTCTGTAGTGAATGGACTATCTTGCTTACCTTTCACATTTTTGGATTTTTGTGAGTAATAAATAGATGAATTTATGGAAGATCTAACTATTGGTTTCCCGTCTTATATTTTCCTTCTTTTTTTAATTTTTCTTTCTTTTTGCTGTCAGGGGTCAAGGGCAGTAGGTGATTGATGAATGGCGAAATGAGTGTTTTTATGTTATAACATGTGTTTTATTACGATTATGAGAACTGAGTCACTCTTACATCTTCCACTCATTTTCACAGGGTAACAAAAACTGATTAATTGAAGAGAGTGTCTTTGAAGGCACAGAATCATAAAAGTTTGTCTACATTTTTGAACAAATTTTCATAGGTGGAGGTTATGGTGGTAGGTTAATGGTAATGGTTGTCTATAACAATTCGTTTTTTTTTTTTTTTTTGAAAATTTGAGTTGTTCTATTAGAATCTGTAATTGGTGATTAATTTTACATTATTTTGCTTTCCCCATATGGGGAATAAGTTTTGCTATTGGTTGTGATTATGCTTTTTTAGTCATGATTTTTGTTGGGCAGGGTTAGAAGTAATGAGTTATGGTTACAGCTCGGTAATATTGGAAGGGATGTTTAAGAAATAGAAGAGTTTGGTGGTGGTGGCAGCTTAGACCTTTACATAGAGATATTATTTAGATTAGACATTTTTTTGAGTTATATAGTTTTACAGACACAATTAAATAATTGCAAATTTTTTTTGTTGTATAGTGCCTTCAGGCATGGACAATTGCTAATATGTTAACAAATTCAATTGTTCAACTTGTAACGACTATATTCATGGACACAGTGCACATAAGGGATTCCTATAGGTTTATACTTGGATTACATTCTGGTGTTGTCTATTTGACACAAGGATAACGCCTGTATTTGTAGGGTGAGAAGTACATATAAAATCATTCAGCCATAATTAATGGCTGAAATCATGCCTTATATTCAGGCACATTGCTAGGGATTCGTCCCGTCAATCATGAACATTCAAAATATCTTCAACAATTCATGTCATTATCAACATTCCAAAATGCCTATTCTATCCTTGTTCAAGTTAACAACGCAACATACTGGTAAAATGTGCTTCTAATTAGACCAATGAGATTTTGCCAAATGATCACTATAGTAAAATCAATGAACAGTTCATACTTTTAAAAACTTTAAAAACACTGCTAAAATCAATCAAAAAATTCATTTTACAATAATATATGTTGAAAAATTTTACCAAGTGTTCTATTCTATCCAAATAAGAAAACAATCTATATAATAAAATACATAGTAGTTTGAAAGTTTATCTCCTATACATTTTTCCTCCTAAAAATATCACATCATCAAATTTTGTCTATTACATGTTCAATCATTTAACATTTGATTAATTTGTAATTTAACACAATTTTTATGTTATACATTGTTCATACACGATAATGTACACATGTTGAAAAAATTTTGTCGAATTATATATTTTTATAAATTTTTGATGCTATTTTTTAAAAAATAATAAGTAAAAATTAATTTTAAAAGAAACGAAGAAATAAAAAATTGTTAGTTGGTTGGTGGGATCAATTTTTTAAGCAATCAAATTTTATATTTCATCATGCTTTCAGGCATGGGTTATGACTAGTTATTCTATAAAATAATATAGCATATCTTTTTTTTTTTATTTCATCTTTAAAATAAAACTTAAGGGAAACGCAGCATATATTAACGCCTTCATTTTTTCATTTTATACATTCTTACAATCAACCAATGGGAAAGTCACTGTAAAAAAAAAATTAGAAAAGAAGTATGAAATATTAGGTATACATAAATATATGGAATGGAGAAACAAGGACCATTGTCTAGTCCTATGATAAAAGTATCAAACAAACATCGGTGAAGTTATGTGCTCAAATAAGAGAACAATCATTTTGTGAAATAATTAATCGGCTTTTGATCTAATGGTATTCCTTACCTTGTAAAGACTTTGCTTTCTTTAGGTCAAGGGTTCAAGTCCCTCATCCCCTCTCCCTCCCCCAAAAAAAAAAAAAATTTGTGAAATAATGTAAAATAAATGTGCCCAATCCATCATCCAACACCCTTGATTGAGTGGACAATAAAAACATGGTAGGGAACCTTTATTTTACTTCTTGCACTTATTTTGCAATCGAATATAGAATAACAAGAATTTAGAAGGAAATATAAACATATAAGAAAAAAATTGTTTGGTTGATTATTTTCCTTCCTGTTTCAGTTCAAAATAAATAATCAGTATCTATGTATACTACTAATAAAAGGAAGCTAATGAAATTTTTTTTTGATTTTCTATTCTACCCCCTACTTAATCATATAAAGGCAATTATATCCTAGTTACCACTTTAACTCTTACACTTTTCTCTTCCTAAGAATGAATATTTGTAATTACAGGTGCATTGAATACATA